CCCGCTGCCAGGGGTCAGCGCGGCTACGGCCGCTGCTGCGCGGGGGAGCGAGGTCCCGGGCCGGGCCGCAGCCAGCGGTCGCAGTCGGGGTCTCCCACAGCCCCCCTCAAGCTTGCCCCATGGGTCCCTGGGGCAGTAGCAGCTGGGTTGCGACCGCGCTGCCCGCGGGGCGATGTAGGGGTCTCCGGCCACCCTTGTCCCAGGGCTGCGGCCGTGCGGGAGGTGTATCTGGGCTCCGCGGCTTGGCTCGGTGCGAAGCGAGGCCGGTCGTCTCTGGCGCAGACGCGCCGGCCGAGCGAGCTGCGTCTCTGCTGCGGCTCGGCAGTTCTGGGCTGCACCTGCCCAGGGGCATTCGCTGACATCTGCGCAGCCAGGAAGAGGCTTGCAGCCCTGGTGGGATACAACACCTTCTCTATCGCAGGTGCCAAGCTTTTGCTGCCCGGACTTTGCTCTAACACCACTGTAAAATCCTTGGACTTGAAGGTGAGTTTGCTGGACTTGGCTTGAGCTACCGTGAGCACGAGCCTTGGCTGCTGCACCGAGGGGGTGGTGGGCAGAGGCTGGAGGAGCGGACAGTGGGACTTTGGAGGAAAAGCCCTGATGGCCCCGGCCCCCCACAGGGACGCTGTGCTGGGTTTCTCCCTGGGGCTCTGGCTGTGCGGAGCTTAGTGCTCAACACATTTCCTAGTAGAAACTGTGGTTTTGGTTGTATCGGCTCACGCTCTATGGTGTGAGCAGCTTGGGGTGTTAAGAGGAAGGTTGTCTTGCTCGTGGTTTAGTGGGGCAGGGGCTCCAGCCCCATGTGGACAGCGCTCCTGGCACAGGGAGGCCGGGCAGGTGATGCCCTCTCTGCATGGCTGCCGGCACCAGTGGGTACATCTGTGCCAAAGCCTAGGGCTGGGACAAGCATTGCCCAGGGGCCCCAGCCCCAGCCAGCCTGGTGTCACGTAGGATGTCAGTGGGGGGAGGGCACGTGGGCTTGTCAGGCCACTCACTGGGGTACCTGTTCCAGGGGAACAACCTGCAAGCCGTGGGTGCTGAGGCCTTGGGGAAACTCCTCCAGCAGAACAAATCCATCCAGAAGTAAGAGGCATAGTTCCCCACTCCCCATGCTCCAGTAGAAAAAGGGTGGGGGGTTGGGGGGGTGTTGGGGATGGTGTGGGCAGGGCTGCTCCTCTTTGGGGCCTCCTCTCTTGGCTGGGCTGGGCCTGTGAGTGTGGATGCTGGATCCTGCACGGGGCTGGACTGCCCCTTCCCTGTGGCAGCAGGAGGCCAAAGGGGCTGCCCCTCAGGGCACAGACTGAGCCCAGCCTGGGGTGTCCCTTCCCCTTAGCCTGGTCCTGGAGTGGAACAGCCTGGGCGTGTGGGAGGAAGGCTTCTCGCTCTTCTGCCAGGGGCTGAGCACCAACCGCTCCCTGCAGCGCCTGGACCTGCGCAACAATCAGATCAACCACGAGGGTGCAGGGGAGCTGGCTGCTGCACTGAAGAGCAACTCCAGCCTGCAGGAGCTGGGTAAGAGCCATTCTCATCCCTGCTGCATGTGGTGCAGCACGCACCTTGGCCTGGCTGGGCGTGCTGGGTGTGTTTGGCTGGCTCTTGGGAGGGAAAAGGGTTTCCTGTAGGCTCTGCCTCTGCTTCTCTCCGTGCTGCTGTACACCATGGGCTGGGGTTTTGGGCTGCAGCCGCCAGGTGGGTCTGGCCCTGCAGGCCGGAGTGGCACAGCACGGTGCCTGGGGCAGGCTGTAGGCACCTGGGGCCGGCAGTGACTCTGCGGTGATGCTTTGCTCTGCTCCGCCCTAGATCTGCGCTGGAACAATGTGGGACTCCTGGGCGGCCGAGCGCTGCTGAACTGCCTGCACAGCAACAGGACCCTGCGGCACCTTGAGCTGGCAGGAAACAACGTCCCCAGCGACATCCTGAAGGCTGTGGGTAAGCAGCGCTGGGCTTGCAGCAGGGTGGGATGGTTGCTGGGCTCTGTGCATAGTATGCCCTACTCCCCATAAGCAGCACCCTGGCAATGAGGGAGAATGTTTCCCAAACTTGGGTGCTGCAGGGTGTCGCCTCAGCCTCACAAGGGTTCCTGCAACCACTTCGTGCCCTAGTCATTGCCCCCCTGCAGGTGCTCTGGCTGCTCTTGGCATGGAAATGTTCACTCTCACTCCTGCCCTGTCTACCTCAGAGCAAGCCATGGACCACAACCAGGACCGCCAGAGCATCCTCGCTGAGAACCAGAGCCGGACCCACGTGCTCAGCAAGGAGGTCCTGAGCCTGAAGGAGGAGAAGGCCAAGCAGGTAAACATCTTCTTGTACCTGGGCTGGGGCACTGGGGAGCCTGGATGTCCTACTAGCATCTCTGTGCAGTTGTCTGGTGACATGAACTGTCAAGTGAGGCCTGAGCTCTGGTTATGTGGGTGTGCTGCATTCACCTTTGCAGCGAGCACACAGCATGGGGGGAGGGATCAGCACCCCCGGGGCAGGTCTGTGACAGTTCAGTTAGACACCTTGGCTCTAGCTCCTCCTGGGGGCTGTCTGCATCCCTCTGGGTCTCCTTCCCACTGGGAGGTCATGAAGCAGTTAACCCAACTTTCACTCCCTCTCCCCAATTGCACTCCTGAGCACCTGAGACACTGCTGTGGCTGGGTGCCCTGGCTGGAGCTGGTGGTGAAGCCCTTGCCCATCTGGATCCCAGTTTGGCTTTTTGTGAGAGGCCATCTGGGACCCCTCCCTGCCCCTCAGGTAGGGAAAGGAGGCAGGTTTAAGTGGCCTGAGCCCACACTTGCCTCAGTGTCAGCAGTGCATGTCTCTGGTTACAGTTTCTGAATTTGATGGACACCATAGACAGACAGAGGGAAGAAATAACCAGGAGCAGCAGGTCAGTGAGCCCCTGATTTCTCTCTTCTGTAGGGGCTGGACTAGCCCTCACAGTGGCGGCTGGGATGCCTGGCTGCCTCCCAAACACCAGCTCTCTCCTCTTGCCCCAACTCAGGCAGTCATCAGCACGGGTTGGGCAGCTCCAGGAGGCCCTGGCAGAGCGGCACTCCATCGTGAATTCACTGAAGGCCAAGTATGAGGAGAGCGTCTGTGCAGCCTTTCCACTGGCGGAGCTGTTGGCAGCTCAGGCAGGACTGCCAGGAGCGGGAGACCACGTGTGACCCCTTTGGTTTCTAAAGCAGCATGGCTGCATGGTGGAGGGGGCGAGCAGCTACCTCAGGCTTTCTAGAAACCTTGTGGGAGACCCAGCACGGGCTAGAGACTGCTGTGGAAGCTGTCGCAGTCCATCTCCTGTATCAGAGGCTGGGCAAAAGGTTCTTGGGTGCCACTGGGGGTGTCAGCTGCAGGAGTGCCGGCCTGTACACACCCTCTGGCTTGACCGTGGGAGTGGCTTATTGGTTGGCTGCACCGCTGGTCTAATGGAAGTCTGTCAGCAAGAGGGTGGTTCTGCGCCTGATGCTCTTCCATTCGCTGAGGCCTCAGTCTGGATGCCAGTGCACAGGGGCCTTGGGCAGGGTTGAGCCCCACAGCATAAGGGTGTTCACAATTGTCCTGGGAGTATCATGAGATAAGGCTGAGCTGGGGAGGCTCTGGACAGCCCTGTCTGGGCTGTTCCTGTGTTGCTGTTGGGTTATCCTGGCCCGTGTTGAGCTTTGACTGTATCTGGGAGATGGGTTGAGGTCAGACCTCTGCCTTGCTCTCCACTGTGCAGGTTGCAGATGGCAGAAGCTGCCCTGGCACTGTCTGAGCAGAAGGTGCACGACCTGGGGGAGCTGCTGAGCACTGCCAAGCAGGAGCAGGCCACCATGGCCGAGCGCCAGGCAAAAGATCTCCAGCAGCAGAAGCAGGTGGGCAGGAGAGGCTGGGTGTGTGGGCAGGTGGGCCATGCCTCGGCTTTGCAGGACAGAGGTGTGGGCAGAGGATGAGGGCAGCAGTGGCCAGAGCAGGCCTGCGGGGGCTGTGGGATCTGATGTGACCAGAGGGAGGGTACAGGATTTGGGCTGGGCATCAGGAAACAGGGACCAGCACATCTTGCACTGGCAGGAAGCAGCTGATCGGGAAACAAAGCTTCTCCGGGACCTGTCTGCTGCCAACGAGAAAAACCTGCTTCTGAGGAACCAGGTAGGCGAGTGTGCTTGGGCCAGTGTGGGCAGCAGGGTTGTCCCTGGGGCTCCCGCTTGGGCTCCAGACCCCCTCCTGCATTTCCAGCTACTAGCCCTGCATGGCCGTGTTCAGCTGCTCTTGTGGGTGTCCTTGCAGGTGGATGAGCTTGAGCGGCGGGGCAAGGCCCAGCAGGACCAGCTCTTCCAGCTGAAGCAGGACTTGACCAATACAGTAGCAGATCTGAGGCTGCGGGCTGTGAAGGCCGAAGGTGAGTGTGGGGCCAGGTAGCCTGGCCCAGGGGCCTCGGAGCCCGGGACCAGTGCTCCAGGGCTTGTGAGGAGATGTTGCCCCCTGACCCAAGCCTGCACTAGGGAGGCTGCGGTTGGTGATGGGCACCTTGAACTCGCAGAACGCCTGGACATGGAGAAGAGGAGGTTCAAGCAGGGCCTCGATGATGTGGAGTTCCTTCGGCAGAAAGAGGTGAGATCGTAGCACTGGCCGTGTTTGGGAAGTTTGCCCCATCCCAGCTGTGCAACAGGCCCTTGCTTGTGCCTGATTTTGCTGAGAGTCACTCTCCATAGGGGCAGGCTGAGCTCCCCAAAAGCATGTGCCCCCTGCTCCTCCCGTGCCTCATCTCATCTGTGCATAGGTAGTTGGCTCTTAGCCATGCTGTGGTGCCCTGTTTTGGGGAATGAAGGGGCCTGTTTGCTCCTGTCAGTAATTGGTGGGGAGGCATGTGTCCCTCCCTGTGCATGTGTGGGCAAGGCTGCCGGGTCTCACTGGAGGCCTGGGGTGGCCCCTGCTTTACAGGTGGACCACATGACGCAGCACATGGAGGCGAGCGAGCGCTCCATGCAGGAGCGCATCCAGCGGCTGGAGGCTGTCCGCATTGGGCTGGAAGAGGTGAGTTGGCACTCTGCAGTGGCAGTGCCATGGCGAGTATAGTCACAAGGGGCCCCAACAGCTTCCCAGCACTGTCCCTGGGGGATGCTGGAGGCAGGGAGGAAGGGAGGGGAGGGGCAGTGGCAGCCTTAGTCAGCCTTCCTGTTGGCATCGCAGCACATTCCCATGCGCTGGCTAAGGAAAGGGGCATTATGAAAACATCTGTGCCGGGTCCGTGTGGCCAGAGAGTGCAGCCAAGGGCTGCTGTGTGTGGCTGACCCCAGGAAGATGTGTGCACACAGCTGCTGGGAGATCTGCTCTTTGGCCTTGGAGCTGTTGGGAGTGTCTAGGTGGCAGGGGCCTGATCTGCAAGGGGTCAATTGCCCAGCCTATTCTCGTGGGTGAGGGGAAGATGGGTGATGCAGGAGTGGTCAGCCTAGCAGCCCCTGCTCTCTGCCCCCCCCCCCCCCCCCCCC